TGAAGGAGCTCTCCTATTGGAAGAAAAATAACTCAGCTCAACCAAGAGAGGGAGTCCTAGATATCACCCAAGAGGAAAATCCTCAAAGTCCCTAAAGTAGCAAACTGGATAGAGGGACATAACAGAGACTGCCAGCTCCTCTCCTGTCTTCTCTGAGTCATTTTAGCAGACTGAAGTGCTGGCCTCTTTCATCTTCCTTTTCAAACCTGGAGGCCAGGAGCACCTGAACGTCTAGGCCCTTGAAGAAGACTTGAAGCTTGACTAGTCCTAAAGGGGACTGCTCCTGAAGAGTCCCAAAGGGGACTGATTGGGGACCAAAGTTTTTCATTTGTTGCCAACTCCATCCTGCCCTCTCATGTACGTGTATATATGTATGTATGTATGTATGTATGTATGTATGTATGTATGTATATGTATATATATACACATATATATATATATGTATACATACATACATGAAGAGGGAGAGGGAGACAGAGAGGAAGAGGGAGAGGGAGGGAAACGGAGGGAGAGAAAGAGAGGTGGGGAGAGGGAGAGGGAGATTGTTCCTTATCTTTAACTGTTAATAGTCATTGCTTGATCTAATTCTAATTCTCTCAGATTTTGACTAGAAAAACTCACCCAGGATCTTTATTATGTCATACTTGTCCTTCAAAGTTTATGCAAGTTCCAACTCCTCATAAAGCCTTGTCTAATGACCACAGACCAAACTCACTTTCTGTTCTGGAACTCAGGGGTGTGGTGAGCCATCTTGCAGTGGCTCACAAGAGTTAATTGTCTAATTTTCAGTGGGAGCATTTACATGTCAGAATCCAGCCAATACTACAAATCAGGGTTTGATTTATTGTTTTATTGATTTTCTAGACTTTAAATAAAGTGATGGAGAAAATATTAATAATGCAGATTAAACTAAAACTTAAAAGTGTATTGGGCCTTTTCAGAGAGCTAGCTGTTAAGCATTTACATCACTCAGGAGAGGCAGCTAGGTGGTATAGTTGATAGACTTTGAGGCAAAGAGATCTGAGTTCAACCTCTCAGCCTCAGTTTTCTTGCCTTGAAAATCAAGATAATAATAGGACCTACCTCACAAAGTTATGAGAATCTCATGACATAATCTATGTAAAGCACTTTGTGAACTTTAAACCACTATAAATGCCAGAGCAGCTGTGTGGCACAATGGATAGAGTGTAGGGCTTAGAGTCAGGAAGACCTGAGTTCAAATCCAGCCTTAGACACTAGCTGTGTGATTCTTGGCAAGTCATCTAACCTTGTTTCCCTCAGTTTCCTCATTTATAAAATGATCTGGAGAAGAAAATGGCAAACCACTCCAGTATCTCTGCCAAACAAAAGCCAAATGGTGTCACAAAGAGTCAAACATGATTGAAATGATTGAACAACAAATAAATGCTAACTATTTTTGTTAGTACGTATTTCCTGAACCAATATTCTGGTTCCTGAATCATTCATGTTGGTTACAGCATACATTCTCTCCCTTGTTCATTACTCATCTGTGTGACTGTGCACTCCTGTAACATGGCACATGTTCAGTGCTTCAGCTGTTATTACCATGCACTGTCTATAATAGTGCATAAAGCAGGTGCTTTATGCAGTCTCTGGACTGTTGTGCTGTGACTAAGAAAACAAAAGTTCTAATGTCAGTTAGGGTGCTTACTAGTTGGGTTACCCATAGTGATTGTCATCTATAAAATAATGAGTACCCTTCTAAAGTCTTCTCAATGCTTTGACATTCTATTACTGTCTTAGGAATTAGGAAGAAGGCCTGTGATTTCATTGGTATGTGACTATCTTACTAGTTAATAAATAGTCAGCTTTTCTTTTGTTCTCATAACATTCCATATTGCATCATATTATTTCTGTAGATGCCATACCACCCCACACCCATTTTGGTAAGCTTTTTTTGCAAGCATAGGCTGTGTCTTATTTATCTTTGTATACCAATGCTAGCACCAAAAAGAACCATGAACAAAAAGAAAAGATCAATAGTAAGTAAAATTATCTCAAAAATTAAGGACACTCCAAAGTGTCATAAGCTGTCTCTGAAGATAGTGACTTCCATCCCTCTTCACTCCCACCCCTACCCCTTCCACCTTTAGTCTTCAAGCAGAGGTTAGATGACAGCTTGGCATATTTTACAGGAGATTCTTGGTCTTTTATGAAATGATTTTATCTTATACATACTACTTTTTTCTTCAAATTCTTGTTCATTATCTTTTTTATTGAGTGAATAAATCTCTCTCTGGACCCAACAGGCCTATTTCCATGTTATTCAGCATAGACTTCTGTTAATGTATAGAGACATCTAATAAAGCCTTTAGGAGAAAGAATTACAAAGGCAAAATCATAGAATAACAGAATCTCAGAGTGGAAAGAAACCTCAAAGATTATCTGGTGTAACCCATAATCACTCCATGACACTCCAGGCAAGAGATCATTTAACTTGTGACGCAGTGATGGTGAACTCATCACATCCTAAGACCACCTATTCCATTCCATTTTAAACAGTTCTAATTGTTAAGAAGTCTCCTCCCATCCCCCTACACCAAGTTGACATCCTCTCTGCAACTTCCTCCTACCTCTGCTCTTTGTTCTGCCCTCTGGAGAGAAGTTTTCCACATGACAATTTTGAAAATACTTTAGTTAGGGCTTTAGGTTTCAAGAAATGCTTTACATACATTTTCTCGTGAAGTCTTCCAAACAATGCAGTGAGGAAAATAATACCAATATTATTATTCCCATTTTAAAGATGAAGATACTGAGGCTTGGAGAGTTAAAGCTGAAGACAGCTATAATGTTGTTTCTAGGTCTTCATCCGTTTCAAGCTGAACATCCCCATTTTTCCTCATATCAAGTGTATCTGCCCCTCTCTGCCATTTCCTCTCATTGTAGCTGGTTCTTCTCATTAGCAATAACCCTGATATGTTTATTCCTTGACAAATGACATGACAAATCTTTCAAATATTTGAAAATGGCAATCATAGGCTTTAGAGGCTGTGCTTATAGCTACATGACAGTCAGAATGGAGAATAAGACAAGCTGTCCTCCCTGCCCCCATTCCCTATTAGTTCTCATGAGAAGCATCTCCAAACAGACCTGACGTGATCACAACTAGAAGGGAAGAAAGTGACAGGGACAAAGTTATTTAATTTGCAGTGGTCCACTGAGAGGTTGGCTTGTCCCTCTTGGCAGCTAATAATCATCTCAAAACAGGATTTTTCAACTCTAAGTCCTAGGAAGAAGCAGGCTTTATCATGCCCAAAGCTTACAAGTGGTCTGCCAGAATCAGAAAAGATTTTATGCATATCCTGTTCAATCCCCACTTATACTTGCAGGCTGACATACTTGTAAGACAGATTTGCTAATCCTTTTACCATCTTGATTATACTTTTCTGTAAGTTTTTTAGCACATGTATGTCTTTTCTAAAATCTGAGTTCCGAGAAATGAATGCACTCTTCTGGCCATGTTTCAGCTTGGAAATTTCTTCCAAACTTTATGACCAAGATCTTCTAACCAGGTGACAGTAGGACTCATATTCCCAATGTAGTACACTACTCTTGCATAAATTCAGTCCAAGATAGCAATAATCATACTATACTATTTACTCACATTCCATTTGTACTCCACTCATCAAGACAATTTTCACACATGTCTTTCAAATCAAATCAAAAGGACTTCAAAATAAAAATGATGGGGAAGGAATGTAAATCTATGAAATACATTCTATAGAGAGTAACTGCAAAGAAGGGAAAAATAGCAACTGAGACATCTAGACATTCACAGGAGACAAAATCTAAGACAGGAACCAGTAGTAAAACCCATGGCCTCGAGTGTCTATACACACATGGATCAAGTTTAGGTAATCAAACAGTCGGTCAAAAAGTATTTATTAAATAAAAGCTTACTGTGATCCAGGCACTGTGCTAAGTACTGGGGATACAACAAAAGGCAAAAAACACCCCCCCCATTCTCAAGGGGCTTTCATTCTAATAGGGAAACAACATCAATCAGACCATACAAGATAAATGCAGAATAGGTAATGTGAGGGAATAGCGCTAGAGAAATAGCCAGGGAAAATATTTTTGGAATAAAGTTCTCATTAACAAAGAGGAATGGGTCTTGAGGTGGATGCCTAGAATTTTAGAGGGACACCATTCAAGAGTCTGTGAAAAAGAGGCAATCTTGGCACAGTCGGACATGTGTGCTAGATTTCTGCAAATCATATTTCAAAGAGTTCAGAGGAAAGATTGGTAGGATCCCATGAAGTAAAATATTTTAGAAGTCAGATCGGGAGGGATCACAGATACTCAAGTACATAATTCCACTGAAGATGCTAAGAAGCTTTCAGAAGCAATTTGAAAGCATTTTGACACCAACACAATCTTAGTTCACTCCTTACTTGAGCAGGAATTCTGTCTCTCCAGCAACTCCTGTGGCTTTTGACTCCTAACTGATTGCTTTTTTTTGTTTGTTTGTTTTTTGTTTTAATTTTGGAAGCAATGGGGGTTAAGTGACTTACCCAGGGTCACACAGTAAGTATCTGAGGTCAAATTTTAACTCGGGTTCTCCTGACTCCAGGGCTGGTGCTCTATCCACTGTGCCACCTAGCTGTCCCCACCTAATTGATTATTTTGTCCAAGGAAACCCAATTTTTGCCATAGACATAGAAAGTCATTTTGTTCACCATTAGCTGAACTCTTAACTCAAGGTGCCCAGTGAGTGGCTAAGAGAATTAGAAGTTCTCTACAACCTGAGGAAAGTCACCTACCCATAATAAAGAAAAATAATTCACATTCATTTAGTGTTTTAAGGTTTGTTATATTTTTTCCTGACAACAATCCTGTGAAGTAGGTATTGTATATATAATTTCCATGTCACAGATATGGGACCTGAATACTATGGGAAGTTAATTTAATTATTCAGGATCATAAAACTAATGAGTTTCTGAGTGATTCAAACTGTCCACACCAGTTAGCCAGTGAAGTTCTCAGCTTTACTTTCCCCATGAAAATAGGAAATTAACTACACGGTCCCAGATCTGCTTGGTCTTCACCCCATAGATTATGGGATTCAGCATAGGAGGAGCCAGCATACAGACGTTGGCCAGGAGAATGTGGGTGTGAAGGGGAACATGGCGCCCAAACCTCTGGGTGATGATAGTGAAAATTCCTGGAAGGTAAAACATGGAGATGACCCCAAGATGGGAGCCACATGTGCCCAAAGCTTTGCTACGGGCTCCCTGAGATGGGAGGCGGAAGACAGCTCGAAGTATGAGGATGTAAGAAATAGCTATAAGCAGGGCATCCAGCACAACAGTGAAAAGGAGGACAGATAGGCCATACCAGACATTCACACGGATGTCAGCACAAGCGAACTTGGCCACGGCCATATGCTCACAGTAGGTGTGGGGGAGTACTCGGCTGCGACAGAAGGGTAGCCTCTTGACCAGGAACACATCAGGAAGAATCACGCAAAAGCTCCTCACAATGACAGCCAGACCAACATAACCAATTGTCCTGCGGCTGAGGACAGTGGCATATCTCAGTGGGTCACAGATGGCCACATAGCGGTCAAATGCCATTGCCAATAGGATTCCTGACTCGGCAATGAATGTGGAATGGATGAAGAAAATCTGAGTGACGCATCCATCCAGGGAGATCTCTCCAGCTTGGAACCAGAATATGGCCAAAGCCTTTGGCAAAGCTGTGTTAGAGAGGATGAGGTCAGTCCCAGCAAGCATGGAGAGGAAAAGGTACATGGGCTCATGGAGGCTGCGTTCATTGATGATGACAAAGATAAGGAGGCTGTTGCCAAGGAGAGCAACTAGGTAAGAGAAACAGAAGGGGATGGAGATCCATAAGTGCTGGGCCTCTAGTCCAGGGATGCCCAGCAAGATGAATACAGTGTGACTAGTACTTGTGTGGTTGGGAGAGGCCATGACCAGGAACGGTCAACTTTGAGTCACATTCCTGTGGACAAAGATAACATCAGGAAATGGGGGAAGGCTTTTCATGCACTCATGATATTTTGAATCTGCTCATCTGCATTCATGTTATCAGTAGAAGATAAGATCCCAGAGGGCAGAGGTAATTCCTTTTTGGTCTTTTTTATTCCTGGAATTCAGCACACTGAAGTACATGTAATTAATACTTAGTGAATATATGTTAAATTAAACTGAACTGTGTGACAATGGGGAAAGTGTATCATTTGCTGGCTAGGTGTCAGGAGACCTGGATTTTAGATGTACTTTTTCCAGCACCTGGAAAGACCTATGGTCTTTGAATAGTCACTCCTGGCGTCTGGGCTTCAGTTTCCTCATCTGTTAAATCAGGGAGAGGAGAATAGACTAAATGGCCTTTCATTAGTTGGCTCTTCCAGCTGTGACATTTTTTTAGTGTCTAGAAAAACTTTAGAAAGTTTCATTGCCATATAATTACCCTCTTTGGCCACTAGATGTGAACATGTAGAATAAGGAGATATGTTGGATGTTCACTGCTCCTGAGATGGCAGATGGCTGAAATTTCCAGCAATGTGGGGGGACCAATCAGAAGATCCCCTGTGTCAGCTCAGCAAGGTTCATTACCTCAGGAGGAATTGTAGAATATTATGTCACAGAAGGACTTTAGAATTCATGAAAATGAGATTTAAAGGGGTTAACTGACTTTTTTCCAAGGCCCCACAGGGAAGTATGTAGTAGCTAAGTGAGCTCTAGACCCCAGGCTACCTGGCCTCCTAATTCAATGCACTTTCCAGTGGCTTATGGCTGGAAGAAGCATATTTTCAGTCCTCTCAGATGAATGCAAAAGTCAAGATAGTGAAACTTGGGGACATCTGCAGAAAATCACTGTTATCCTTCAAATATAAGCCTTTTTTGCCCTACTTCTTAGACCTTACCCTTCGGAGTAAAGAAAAGAACAGCACAACCAAAATAGATTTTCCCAGTACTGATTACCTACATCTTTCCCATAAGTCTATTTTGAATACCTGCTGCAAGTTCAGGCCTCGCACTAGACTGTGCTGTCAGGGGGAGGCAAAAGAAGCCTGGCTCCCTTTCCTTGTGGAGACAGGACACACACATACATAGCTAGAGGCCAAAGATAGGCTATGACAATGTTTTGCCTCCCCTGAGGGTCTAACATGGTCCCTAGGCCGCCTCCTTGTACCCTATATCCAGGTGAGTTAAGACTTTCAAGTCACATGAGTCACCTGTTTTAGGAGAATAAGGATTGAGGTGTGTATCAGTCACTATGAACACATAGCTACAAACTCAGCAATCAATATTTATACACATGAAAACGAGGGATAGCCATCCCCAATTCTAACCAGATCATTATTTGGAATAGTCACCTATCTTTTTTTTTTTTTTATCATTCCACTCATCCTCTTCTGAATACAGCTAAGCTTGTCAAGGGCCTTCCCAAAATATGGAGCAAGAGTTGAACATGACACCCAGTTGTAGTCTGACCAATGTAGAGTTGAGCCTGCTCGTTAATTCCCTCATTCTGGATGCCATGGCTGTTCTTTCAATGTTACCTCATTGAATTTGTAGTCCTTCAAACTCCTAGATCTTTCTCATAGAATTATTTTCAAGCTACAACTTCCCCATGTGACATTTTTATATTATAGAAGTGGCCAATGTGTCACCAGAGAGCCAGGGTCATAGGGATGTGGTAGAAGGGAAGCTATTCAATGGTGTGTTTAACACTATATTTTCAATGACTATAATTTAACTGGCTAAGGACAGTATGACATCTCTCCAAAGTCCTTATATTACCTTAGCAAAGCAAGTAAGGAAAAGCAGTGAAAAGAAAGTAGACTATTACTCAGGAAACTTAGGTTCAAGTCCTACCTCAGCATTGCACTAAATGTATTATTTTGGCCAACACTTACTTTCTTTGGGACTCAGTTTCTTCATCTCTAAAATGATGGGTTGGACTATATAATCTTTAAGGGTCTTTGAAGTTCTATATCCCTATATGATCAATCTTCTGTTTGCAGAATCATTCTGCAATCATTCTGATGGCAGAAAGTGAAGAATTAAGAAGCCTCTTGCTAAGGGTGAAAGAGGAGAGCGTAAAAATGGCTTTGAAATTTAACACTTAAAAAAACCCCTAAGATCATGGCATCTGGTCCCATCACCTTTTGGCAAATAAAGGGAGAAAAAATAGAAGTCATGTCAAATTTTATATTCTTGTGCTCAAAGATCACTGAAGATGGTGACTACAGCCATGAACTTAGAATATGCTTTTACTTGGAAGGAAAGCTATGGTAAATCTGGATTGCATATTAAAAAGCAGACACCTCTCCTTACCAACAAAAGGCTATATATAGACAAAGCTATGGTTTTTCCAGTAGTAATGTATGGATGTGAGAGTTGGACTATAAAGAGAGCTGAGCAGAATAGACACTTTCAAATTATGGTGCTGGAGAAGATGTTTGAGAGTCCAATGGACAGCAAGGCGATCAAACCAGCCAATATTTAAAGAAATTAATTCAGACTATTCATTGGAAGGACAAATACTGAAGCTGAAGCTTAAATAGTTTGGCCACATACAAGACTCATTGAAAAAGATCCTAATGTTGGGGTAATTGAAGGCAAAAGGAGAATGGGATGGCAGAGGATGAGATGGATAGATAGTGCAAGGAATGAACATGAGCTTGGACAGACTTCAGGTGACAGTGTAGATCATTGTGTGTTATGGTCCACGGGGTCACAAAGAGCCAGATATGACTGAACAACTGAATAACAACAACAGCAAATCTAGGAGTGGGTTTGGCTCCCTTCACACACCCCCCCCCCCACACACACACCCCACTACCACCATCACCCAACACACTTTCTTCTCCCTAGAAGACCAGGTCCTAGAGCTCAGTGTCATGAGGCTCCAGTCGCTGACGCTTCCTTGTTTCCCATGTAAAGACTGATTAGATAATTTTTCCCACCCCTTTCTCCTTTCCCTACTCCCTACTCTCTCCTCCTAACTCCTTCTGCTCTTAACTTGGGTTGAATTTGGAGACAGATGACATAGAAATGTGTCCAGTTTGAGGACTTCTCCCAAGTACTTTTAGGACTGAAGGGGTTGGGTAAAGTGGAAGGTCTCTGGGGAGATCTAGAGAGAAGAAGGATGATTGAAGCAGTAGACAGTAGAAGGTTCTGATGGTCCAGAAGTTCAGGTCAAGGAGTCAAAGGGTATCAATGCTTACAGTATTCTCTGAGGCTTTTTCCACAAATAAACTACTCTGAGCTTCCTCAGCTGTCTGCATTTAACAGATTAACAAATATACATATATATATATATATATATATATATATATATAGAGAGAGAGAGAGAGAGAGAGAGAGAGAGAGAGAAGCACACACACATTCATTTAAACACAGACATTCATTTACATTCACACAGAAACATGCAATGACACGTTTTCACACACAGACATACATGCTTGTACCATCATAGACTTGCACATCCGTACGCATATGCACCTAAGCTTCTTGAACCAGCCCTGAGACTTACATCTCAATGCTAAGCTTTGACCTTTTATTCTATACTGAACCAGGGCTTTCTCAGAATGGAAGGACTTCCAGATGACATTCTATTGCTATCCTGTCTCCAGGGGTGACAGCCCCTTCCTCAGCCCAGGCGTGAGTGTAGGAAATGAGAAACACAATTTTATAAGACAATCCCATTGAAATGCCCTTTGAGAATGGGAAAGGGACCTTAGAAATGCTGTTTCCCATCTTCCTCATTTACACAAGAGAAAAAAGTAAACCTAAAGCAGCGAAATGACTAGCCCCAGGTCACAGAGACAAAAGTTAAGTTAGAGATAAAACCATAGCTGTAATCCACTGTCCTTGAATCTCAAGCAGGAATCCTTCTGTGTAATCACGGAATTTCAAAATGCAGAGCAAACAGAACTTCAGAAATTATTTAGCATCTGTAACTGAGCAGGAATCTTCTATAAAATACCTTTGATAATAATTCCTCTATCTATGTCAGCCTTCAGAGATGGTCTTCACCTTTCTATGATGACCCTATGGACCTAGGACCCTTTTCCCTCCTTGCCACTCCTCATCTTTCTTGCCCCAGTCCTTCCTAGGTCTTTCCTCAGGCTGTTTCCCAAGAGTGGGAATTGGAAAGAGAAATAGCCAGAACAGGATGGAATCATGTAAGAACTAGTTCTAGGTCTGGAATCAAAAGACCTGGGTTCAGATCCTGGCTCTGCCATTTTCTCATAATCACTTTGTTAGCAAGTCATTTTACCCTCTAGCCTGTATAGCTTCTTCATCTGTAAAATGAAGTTAAATTTTTTTTTGTATCATCTGTCTTCTACAGTTTTTATGAATAACAAATGATATAATACCCATAAAGACAAATGAGATCAATGTAAAATAAGATAATAAGTGCAAAGTACATAGAAATATAAACTTGTTCTAATTGCTATTAGGATTTCATACATACCTCATCTTCTTTATCTCAGCTCAAATATTTCAGGTCTGGAAATCAATCAGTCCCATTCAGAAATGAGAACCCAGCTCCAGTATGGACAGTAGCTAGAGAGTCAGGGGGAGGGGAAGCCCCAGGGTGATTTATCATCTCTCTGGATTCCTCAGGGACAATGGCCCCATCCTCCTGTCCCCAGGGATTTCTGACTCAATTTTCTCTATTCACTAAAGCCATTCAGCTACAGACAAACATTTCAGGTTCCTTAACACTTTCCTTGCTGGATTTTGATGCTCTGAGATACTCCTCAAAGCTCTTTAAGAGGGGACCAGGTGGATCTAAGGTGAGGATAAAGGATAGCATCTATAAAAAGGATGGACCTTTCTTCGATCCACCATAGTTGACATCAATTAATCATCTTGACTAGCCAAAAAAGCCAATACAATCTCAGGCTTCTTTAAAAAAAAAAAAAGACGTCTTCAGTTCCAGATATAGTATTTTAGGAAGAGTATGCCATAGTAGATAGAGAGCCAGTCTTAGAAGATTAGGGTTCAAGTCCAGCCTCTGACCCTATGTGACCTTGGGCAAGTCCTTTATCTTCTCAGTGCTCTAGGACTAAGCAACTCTCTGAGACACTAAGCTACAGATACGTCAGCCTGCCTTAGTGGAGGAAGTTTCTTTATTCAAATAAAAGCAATGAGAATCATAGGAAACGGAAAAAGTTTAATAGCGATATTGAAGTTTTTGTAGATCTACTATATGAATCAAAGATTAAATTGTTTATATTGGTTCTGTTTGGCCCCAGAGAAGCAGGAAAAAAAGGATGGAAGTTACAGAGGCAAATTAGGTTCTATGTCAAGAGAAACACCCTAATACTCAGAGCTGTTTCAACATAGAACAGACTGCTTTAGGAGGTCGTGATGGAGGTCTTTGAGTATGAGCTGGATTCTCACTTATCAGGGGGGTTGGAGTTGGGATTCTTGTTCAGGTAAGAGCTAAATGACCTGTAAGATTCTGTTTTTCTTTCTTTGTGTCAGTGAGACAACAGACAGAGACAACAGTAGCAAGTCAGTTCATACACTGGTACCACTGATCTGTTAAATGAACCAGAAGAGACCTTCTGGC